CTCACACGTCGGTGTACTCGTGGTAGATGCGCACCTCGGACCTCCTGACGCTCTGCAGGGAGCGGACGCTCTCGCTGCGCGTCCTCATGTTGGATTTCCTGAAGAGCCGGCGGGAGAAGGAGCGGCACATGAAGAAATAAATGATGGGGTCSAGGCAGACGTTGCAGGCGGACAGGAAGAGCGTCATTTCCTTGCAGTAGTAGAGAACGCGGTGCGCAGAGTCGCCCAGCAGGCGCTCCAGGTGGCTGAAGGCGAAGGGGACGCGGCACAGGTGGTAGGGCAGGAAGCAGGTGAAGAACACGGCCACCACCACCCTGATGCTCTGGTTGTGGCGGCGCTGGCGGCCGGACGCGCTGATGAACTGGCGGCTGGAGCGCTGGATGTAGCGGGAGATGGCCACGTAGCAGCCCATCAGCACGGCCAGCACGGCCACGAAGGTGCCGCCGTGGATGTAGAGCACGGCCCAGTGCCACCTGAGCAGCCCCGGGGGCGATCTGGGCTGCGGGCACTCGCCAGGGCTGCGGCGGGCACTGGCCAGGATCAGGCCGGGCAGGGCCAAAAGCGCCATCAGCAGCCACACCCCGGCYGAGAGCGCCTTGGTGAAGGTGATGCTGTACATGCGCGAGTCCCCGAAGGGCTTCACCACCTTCAGGTAGCGATCCACGCTGATGAGCCCCAGGAACACGATGGTGGTGTACATGTTGGCCGAGAAGAGCACGGAGCTGTAGCGGCACAGCAGAGCGCTCAGCGGCCCCGGGCCCTGCGCGTCCCGAGCGATCCGGAACGGGAACGTCGCTGTCATCAGCAGATCCGCCACCACGATGTTCTTCAGGTAGAAGATGAAGCTGGTCTTGCTCCTGATGTGGAAGAAGATCCACACGGCCAGCCCGTTCAGCAGCAGGCTGGCCAGGAAGATGACGAGGTAGAGCACGGGCAGCACGATGCTGCTGAACTCGTCCGGCACCGAGATCCCGTGGGCAGAGCTGTTGTTGGCAAAGCTGCTGCTGTTTTGGGCAGAGCTGCTGCTGTTGG